GTCTTTGCTCGGTCCGCCACTGACATGCCCGGAATTGACCCTTCAGTCATTACTCACAGGCTGAGCGTGGACCCGAGCTCTAAGCCAGTTCGGCAAAAGAAGAGGAACTTTGCACCAGAATGATGGAAGGCCATAGGAGAGGAAGTTGATAAGCTACTCGACGTCGGCTTCACCCGTGAGGTACATTACCCTAACTTACTGTCTTATGTGCTTTTGGTAAGGAAAGCTAATGGGAAATGGCGGATCTGTATTGACTTCATTGACCTTAACCGAGCCTGCCCAAAGGACAATTTTCCTTTGTCGAGGATAGACCAGCTCGTTGACACCATTGTAGGGTATGAACTACTCAGCTTCATGGATGCCTTCTCCGGGTACAACCAGATCCAGATGCACCCCGACGACGAGGAGAAGACATCTTTCATCACTGAGCACGACACGTATTGCTACAAGGTAATGCCGTTCAGCCTTAAGAATGCAGGGGCCACTTACCAGTGCCTTGTCAACAAGATTTTCAAGAATCAGATGGGGAGGAACGTCAAAGTCTATGTGGACAACATTGTGGTGAAGAGCCTGAAGACCGAAGCGCACACCTCGGACTTGGCTAGAACCTTTGATACTCTGCGTAAATTCAACATGAAGCTCAACCTGAGCAAGTGTGCCTTCGAGGTTACCTCGAGGAAATTCTTAGGCTTTGTCATCACTCAAAGGGGCATTGAAGCCAACCCAAGCAAGGTACAGGCCATACTAGACATGGCACGCCCCCGGTCAGTAAAGGAGACTCAAAGACTTACCAGCAGGATAGCCGCCCTCAGCCGTTTCATGTCAAAGTTGGCAGACTGCTACCTTCCCTTCTTCCACACCATCAAGAAGCTGAAAGATTTCCAGTGGACAGAAGAGTGCCAGCATGCCTTCGACGAGCTCAAGCCATATCTTGCCTCACTCCCGCTCCTCGCTTGTCCAGTATTAGGGGAAACCCTGTATTTGTACCTATTAGTCGGAGACGAGGCCGTCAGCTCGGTCCCGGTGAAAGATGACAGAGTTTAGAGGCATGTATACTATGTCAACAAGGTCCTCAATGACGCTGAGACCCAGTACCCCAAAGTGGAAAAGCTAGCTTGCGCCCTCGTCACCTCGGCCAGAAAGCTCGGGTCGTATTTCCAAGCTCACTCCATAATGATCCTGACAAATCAGCCC